GACCAGCCCTTCCTCCTAGCAGAGAAAACCATAGTCCTTAAAAGTCTGCTTAGATAACTTGCAAGTTACTTAACATTGCTATCTTGTTTCTCTTGCATGTCGAATGAATCCACTAGCCATCTGTGAAATGTCTGAATAATCTCATTGGAGAGTTAACTCTGTTTGTATTTTGGTTTGGTTAGCAGTCTGACCTGACAGTACATTTGATTCCCCTTTTTGCTTTAAGTTTAATGAAGTTTACTGCCCTCATCTGAAGATGCATCTTATGTAAAAAGGAACTTTTAAGTATTTTGGAGGGACTAGTAAAATACTATAATGAATCAATGTGTTCAAGTTAATTTTGTTTAGTTGGTAATACACTTGAGCTGTCTTTCTGGTTTCTACCCTGAAGTGGAAGTGGGGCCTTGTTGTCTAATAAAATTTGTCAGTTGTGCTGAGGATGGCTTGTGCTATTCTTGCAGAATGACTTTGAAACACCTGTATTAAGGCTTTTAAGTTTTCAGTTGCTCTTCTGGTAAGTTTGTGTGTGTATATATATATAGCCTACAGAACAAAATGCAAAATTTAGAAACAGGTTTACCCTAAATTCTTCTTTTTGCTGAAACAAGTTTCTTGGAAGCATTAAAAAAAAAAAAAAAACAAAACAGAATGCCACAAAACAGACAAACCTGTAGGTACAGATTAAATTGCACAAGAAAACAGTATTTAAGGTATAATGCATGTAAAAAATTCTGATATGCAGTTTTGATTCCTTTAAGTAACAAACACTATCCAAGTTCTGTAGGTAGAAAAAGAAAGTAACTTTCAAATACACCCATATGTATTTATGATTATATGATATGCTGTATCTTTATTTTACCACTATAGGTAAGCTAAATGTTATGAGCTAAACTGATTAATAACAGAAACCTGTTATTAAGTGTATTGGCTAATTGCTCTGTCATAGCAATAGTTAATCACTACCTGTATAAGAGACTGGGCAACAGGAAAGGAAACATTAAAATTGTCCTTCTAGTTTGGGCATCTCTGAGTTGTTTGAACCTAGCAAAATCAAGCAGAATAATTCAAATGAAATGTTCCAAAACTTGTCATATTATGTGTGTGTTGGGTTTGGGGTTTTTTAAATAAATTTAAAAAAAACCCCATAACCCAAAAGATGTATAATCCTATTTTTACTGGAAAGATTTAAAAAAAACCCCAAATTTTATCCAAGATACTTAGATAGAAAAGTAAGGTAGGGATTATATTTGCAAATTAACAAGAAAGACTTTGCTGTGGCAGCCTTGCTGATGGGAGTCATTCGGCTCCCGCTTTGATCAATTAGGTTTGTTTTCTTTCTCCTACTTGATGTGGAATACTGTTCTCTCATAATGCTAATAATGAATGAGGATATAATACAGTATCAGAGCAGTCATTGCAATGAGACCATTCTGCAAGTGACTCACTATTAAGGAGTGATTTTTGTATTTCCACATTAATCTCCTGAAACAATATAGGGGAAGACAGCCAGACAGGGAAGACCTTTAAAATAGGGCATCTTGTCCCAACCTGGATCACAAATAAAATGTTTTGACTATTTTCCAAGCCAGTACTAGAGTAGTTTATAGTTAGTATCTTGGCTGAAGTTCACTTGACATGTTGCTGGGAGATAGTGACCAGCAGGTTAGGAATAGTTGTTTGAAAGTTTTCAGTGCTTCTCATTAAGCGTACTGTGTTTGTGAAGCACTCATCCTGTTTTACTGTTGAATTTTCTATGGATGAGATGGCCTTGGTGTGTTCCTTTAATGTTTATGCCATCTAATTTTATAGGCCAGCCCACAACAAAATCTATTTTAAGCAAATATTTTTTCCTGGCAATCTTGAAACAACATGAAAAAACATTCTTGGTTTTCAGGGAGGGATTTCAGTGTCTATTTCTGTTATTTATTATGTGCTCACTGTACATAAGCACTTGAGAATATTTTTTTTAATGAAAAGTGTTTATCCTCGTGGAGCTGTGTGGTGAGGAGAATGCTGTGGCGTTTTATAGAGCGTAGGTGAGTCCCCCGGCAGCTGAAGATGTGCCTGAGGTCAGGGAGGAAGCTCTGGGCAGAGCAGGGTGTTCAACAGGTGTTGCACAAGTTGGTGCTGCTGCTGGAACTGCACCACAGCTTTTCCTCTGAAAGTAACTTGGAGTTGAAAAAGAGTTAACGTAGAAGGAGGGAATGTTCACCTACTACCTAATGATAAAGAAATGCGTTAAATGTTAAGGTAATTGTTCAACTGTTGTGTAGCAGGTAATGATCCCTCTGTGTTGGTGCTTATAGCCGTAAACATTTTCAGAAGTCATTAATAACCACTTTTTGTGACAAAGGTAGTGTGTCTTGTCACTTGCCAAGACATACTTTTTTCCCCCTGCCACTCTAGTTCCACCTTTATCCTTTTTTTTTTTTTACTTAGATGTTTTGGTTTCTCTTTTGCTGCTAAAACTTCAGATCCCTTATGCTACAATTTTATCTGTAAATGACTGATGTTCTTACTAAATAAGCATATCAAAGCAGAGACTCATTTCGTTGGAAGGGAAGTTTCTGCTTTCCCAGCACACTGACAAGTCCAAAGACAGAGAAGCTTCTCAAGAAATGTTTTTTAAAAAATAATGAACTCTATACTTCATGATTTTTGGTGGGGGTTCCCCAGTTTTGTATTTTTTTAAATTCTCTGTTCAATTATAAACAAGCTTTGGCCTCAGTCCCTGTGGGTTGCAGAATGTTCTACCATCAAAGCTGTTAAGGATGTAACTTTGATCTCAAGTTAATACTTGCAGCCGACCGACTCATGTCTTAAACAATGTTTCGTGTAGAAAGCTTCCTCCTGTGTTTATAAAGATCATTTCTAGTGAGATGCACTGTATTTGGAAAAAGTGAGTGATGTTTAAATAGAAATTATTTGGTGAACTGATGCTTACAGGAAATGGCTAATGATGAAATTTTGCAGCTAATACTGCATAAAATCTCATGAAAGTATGAATTGGCAAATTTGATAATGGAAGTATAAAAATAGAGGCAGACACTGTATATAATGACACTTTTTGTAGGAAGGGTTTGATTGCACTTGTACAAGTAGTTCAAATAGCTAGTATAGAATTACTGTCTTTGCAATTAACTGTGAGTGTCATGTTTGGAGTTTAAAAGATGCATTGAGCAAAATTTTAGGTTTAATTTTTGAAGTTGGCAGGGAATTCTAATATTACAATTGGAAGTAATATGTATTGAATACTTCTGTATTATAAAAAAATATAATGCATCAGTTACCATTGGTAGTTATGATGATTTAATAGTGAATATAATACTTATATGAAAGTTGCAGAGCTTTTACAGTCTCAACTATGTGGGTTTTTTCCTCTTCTCTTTCTAAGAGTACGTGACAGCAAAGTACTTAAATACCAGTTGGTTTTCAGTTCATTTGGTGAATTATAGTGTAACTCATGGTCTTAGTAATTTACTTGATGATGGTTCTACCTTTTCTTATATGTAAGTGTGTCAGACTAACTAAACAAAAGATCCAGTACTCTGAGTGGGTCTTGACCTTGCTTTTTCTAGTTCAGTCTGATACATTGAAGTACCTACTCAACAAGTAAAAGCAGCTTTTCCTACTGACTGGGACAACTGTATTTTCAAAACACTTTTGGACTTGCCCCTCCCACCTCCTCCATCCCCATGCCACTAAACAAGTATGGGATCTTTTTTTTAAAAAAAAAAAACCAAAACAAATTTCGAGTACTTTATTCATAAAGTTCATAGTTTCTGATATTGGACAGTAAGGCTGTCTCTGAATGGATTGTGGGTTTCACACAGAGCAGGGACATGGACTGAGAAGTGTGTTGTAGACGAACTACTTGTCATGATATTTTCAGAGCTCTCATTGTTTTAACTGTTTCTGCTCATGTAGGTGTTCTACAGGTAGTGGCAAGGATATAAGACTGTTCTCAGCACGTCAAACTTTCAGGCTTTCCTTTATGTAAAATAAGAGCATGCACTCCTACAGGTTATGTGTTGTCTTTGGAATTCTTTCTTAGACCAATGGGAGGAAAAGTTTCTGGAGTTCTTGCTTGCTTTAGAGAGAATCTTCTTAGAAATTTGTATTCTGTGGGATACTAATGTGAAACAAGTATAATTAAGCTGAATTTTTTTGTACAAAAAAATGCTTTTTGGCTGAATGTAACATAGTGGAATATAGAATTTAAGGGTATTTTGGATTTGCGGTTGTCCTCTTGAATAGAGCATTTTTCATTGTTTAAGTATAAGATCCAGCTAGTCTGTACAAGACCAAAAGAAAACACCTTAAAGTGTTGAGGATACCTTCAGGATCAGAGGAGACACTTCTCTTTGAAAGCACAGCTTAAAACTTAATTCTAAGCAGTCTTTAATGCCTTCTTCATGTAAAAATTTAATCATATTCTTAAAACTTTAAAATATGTTAAAATTGTGCAGATGGAATGTGTGTGTGGGTTCTTCTGTGATACACCAGCTATTTTAGCAGTAAGCCTATGGTTTACTGCAGAAAAATCTTTTTTTATAGTTGTCTAGGAACATGGTCAATTTTGTAGAGCAGGCCAGGCATTACTATATCTTCCGTATGTTGGTTTCACTTATGAAAGCCTACACAACTGTGTTCCACCTACAGTGTGAATTTGATTTCTTTTTGTGCTCAGACTAGTATATCCTCTGCAAGATCTGAACTTCAGTCCCTTTTAATTAGTGTTTGTATTGCACTTTAGCATTTGTACTAACCTACATTTTCAAATGTTGGTGACCTGTATTACACCCGGTGTTGATTGGAAGGATGTAACCCAGGCCTTTGCCAACTGTTTTCCCCTCTTCCAGTTAACTGCAGAAATCCTGTAGTCTTGTCATCCATTTGCCTACTATTTGTGGTAATTACCATATGACCTTATGAATCTAAATTTTCCCAAACAATTTGTGATTGTATTTAATGTTGTTTCTTTTCTCTTTCTGAAGAATGTCAAGCTGTCAGCTGAAGTAGAACCATTTATTCCTCAGAAGAAGGGTCCAGAAACACTAATGATCCCAATGGCGCTTCCTAATGACAGCGGAGGAATTAATGGCATGGAACCAACTCCTATCCCTAGCTACCTGATCACCTGCTATCCGTTTGTACAGGAAAACCAATCCAATAGGTAATAAGTGGTTGTGGTCTTTGTGGAAGATGATCTATTTAAGTGAGGTTTAAACTTTTGGTAGACTTGAGGAGTCAGTGTTGGCTGTATGTTTGTGTTGTTCACCATGTTTAATCTTCTGACCCTTCATGGGTGAGGATGAAGTTTCTTTGTCTTTTTTTACTTATTTCTGTCCCTCTACTTTATTCGTAGTCTTTGCTGCTTTTCTTTCCCTGGCCACAAGGGCCTGGTACCAATCCCTCACAAAGTCACGTGCTGTGCCCTTGCATCTTCCAGGGCAGTCAGGAGGTCTGGCTGAATCTCTGATGCTGAAGCAAGGCTCCAGGTGTCCAGCTGGGATCCTGCCATGGCAAAACAGTGTACAGTGGATGCTTGTATTGAGTGTAGCTGTAGCCAGTTTTCTTTGCATAACTAGTTATAGTACATTGAGTTTAGGAACTCTTTATTCTAGCCCAAATGTGGTGCTCATTGAATGCACAACTTCAACGTTGATTTTTATATTGAAGGCATAAATAATTATCACTGTTTGGTTTTGGAAAATGTACCTAATGTTAGGACAGCACTTGAGTGCTACTGTACTTGAATAGGTAAGAGGAAAAATAATCCTTTAGCAACTGCCTGCTGCAGATCTGTAAAATTTTCCTGAATCTTTACTTCTCCTGTTCTATTTCTCTAGTATTTGGGCCTCTGCATTTTCTGTGTAGATGGTATCCTGGTCTCTTGGAGTTTGAAGAGAATTGGGTTCGTAGTTTCCAGGGGGGTGGTCTTGTAGTGTGCTGTATCACAAATAAACACAGGAAGAAGTCTTCACGCTTGATTTCAGTAGTAAGTTTGTAAATGCCTGTTTTCATGTGTGCTTCTTAAGGCCTGCATTTTCATAGGAATTTTGAACAAGGGTGAGTTGGCAACTTAATATACGCAAGTACTTGGCCCTGAATTAGCTCATGAATGTCTGTTCCACATGTGGTAGCTTACCTTGTGAAGCTTGGGTATCTACTTGGGTTATGTGTGTTTTCTGAAACAATGAAATTGTAATGGGTCCAAATACTTGTCAAAGGAAATGCCTACATTTTATTTCTGAGTTTAATATTAGAAACTTAATAAGTTTATACAAATGCGAGATCAACAAAGATACTTCTTTTGCACTTGAATGTAATGTGAGCTTGTGAATCATTTAATTGGCTTCTCTAAGAAGTTCTAACAAATTTAAGTTCACTTATTAAAAGCTACAAGCTCATGAAACAAATGAGTTGCGGTTATTTGGTTGGTTGGTTGTTATTTGTTTGTTTCTTTTTTTTTAAGGGGGTGGTAGAGGTCTGAATTTCCTTGAGAGGGAAGAACTTACTGAGTAGTTGTCTTTCCTTTTGATATTTACAGACAGTTTCCATTATACAACAATGACATCAGATGGCAGCAACCCAACCCAAATCCTGCAGGACCATACCTTGCTTATCCTATAATATCTGCACAACCACCTGTTTCTACAGAATATACGTATTATCAGCTGATGCCAGCACCATGTGCTCAGGTCATGGGTTTCTATCATCCTTTCAATTCTGCACCCTTTCAAACAGCAAATGCTGTAAATACAGTTACTACAGAATGCACTGAGCGTCCCAATCCATCAGGCCAGGTCTTTCCTTTATCCAGTCAGCGGAGCAGAAGCAGTAACAGGGGACCAGTCATACAAAAGGTAAGTCTGTGTTTAATAGATAAGTAGAACTTGTATAAAGAAAGTATTTTTTCAAGAGGAAGCATGCATCTCATTTGAGCAAGAACAGGTATGTTGTTAGTATCAGTGGAAGGAAAGGTGGGCAGTAAAGGTGTTAGTTGGAGAGTAGTAAAACTCTGTCTGCAGAGATACTTTATGGTAAAATACATGGCAGCTTTAAAGCCTGCAAGTATAACTTGGGAAACACCTTTCCACTGCCTCTCTGCTACTTTGGTCTAAGCTTAGGGTTACTTCATTAGAGAACAAAGGAAGTATACCCATACTTTTGTGACCTTTTTTATACTTCCACATCATAATGACCAGTTAATGCAAAGAGGTTAATAAATCAAATATTTTTAAGAATGTATTTGTTAATCTCTCGTCTTTAAACATGTGACTTCTGTAGAGAGCATTAGAGCTTTTAATTGCTTTGATTACAACTATGAAGTCAAATCATGTGACTTATGTGTGGCTAATCTTTTAAAACAGCAACAGCAGTTACAGATGCACATAAAAAATAAACGTCCTCCAGTGAAAAATGTCGCCACTCAAAAGGAGACTAGTTCATCAGGTCCTGAGAACAGATCAAAGATTGTTTTGTTGGTTGATGCATCACAGCAAACAGGTAATTTCTTTCTTGTGTTCTGGGTGTATGAAATAACTAGAACTACATGTCAGTCACCATTTTTCCTAAAAGAAGGTGGACCTGGTTTACATGTGGCTTTAAAGAGACATCTTTGCAGATCAAAAAGATAATGAAGAAAATGTGATGATGGTTGCAGAGACCTACTCAATTCGTCATATTATAATGTTGCAATGTAGTACTCGTGAAGACTTTGCCACTGTCAGACCCAGACTCCTCTTGAAGGAGTTGGTTATTATTAATAGTTGGAACTAGACACAATTTTGTTTAAATTCGATGCTAGTTTTAGTTTTGTTAAAGGGAATTGTTGTCATATGCAAAGACTTTGACTTTTTCAATTTGTTTTCATAATACATAGGTTTTTCATGTCTTTTAACAATTCCTGCACAAGTAATGATATTTTTATTGTTTCTTGCAGACTTTCCTTCAGATATTGCTAATAAGTCACTTTCTGAGAGTGCCTCCACGATGCTTTGGAAATCAAAAGGCAGGCGCAGAAGAACTTCTCACCCTGCTGCAGAGTCCTCTAGTGAACAGGGTGCCAGCGAAGCGGACATTGACAGTGACAGTGGCTACTGTAGTCCAAAGCATGGCAATAATCAGGCTGCAGCTATGCCTTCAAGAAATACAGATTCTTGTGCAATGAATGTATGTAAACATAACTGAATAACTTAATTATATTTGTACCCTACAGACTATGAAAAATTACTAAAAAATTTGTTATTTCCTTTTCAGGTTGTAGAACCATCAATAAATACAAGTAAGCATTGTCTTTAGCTGATGAGCTGTTTAAAGGTTGGCTGGGTCACTTTTTACATTTTGCTAGGAACCATCTCTCGATCCACTTCCAGCATAGTGTACTCTACTCTATACTTCAGATACTTCTGAAGATATGTCTTTACTGTGATTTCCACCAAGACCCCTGTTACTTGTTGAAGAAACAAGTGAATAAGTAGCTGTCACTAATGATTTATTCAGTTGCCTTTCTTTAAAGGATTAAAAAAGCCAGAGAATCCAAGGGAAGCATTTGGACGAAGCTGTGCTTCTGTTCTATCTTATAGACTGCGGTTCGTACCTGGGTAGTAATAGAGCCAAAGAGTTCTCATTCTCTGAGAAGTACTGATGCTTTTTTAGAAGCTTTAAAGAAGAACTGTAACATGAACAAAAATTTTGATTAGTCTGGCACTAGTGAGTAACACTAGTGGCTATTATGCCTGGACTGAAATTGGACGTGAACCTGAGATTTCCTTTGCCTCCTGATGATCAGTTGTTGGCAATTGGAATGTCTGTCATCTGACTCTTCCATAAAGGCAGTTCTGCTAATGTCTAGAAATACCTACAGAAGTAAATGTTGTCGGAGGAAAACTAGACTTTCTCAGAGAGCTTTATTTGTATCAAAATTGGGTTCTTGTCTCTAGTGGCATGTGTATCATTATTACACATTCTGTCATGCTAGTTCATATTTTTCATAGATGGCACTTCTCTTTCAGCTGGTGTAAGCTGGACTAATGTAAATTCCCAGGCAACTCAAAAAAAACCTTGGATTGAGAAAGCGCAATCACTTTCTAGAGGTGGAAGACAAGCTGAGCAAAGATCAGGTTCACAGGTATGTTAGTGGTTCTAAACTTAAGAGTTCTTTTTCTTGTAATATATGAAAATAAGGAATTTGAAATGGATTATAAAATTAACATACAAAGAACAGCTAATAAAAATATGGAATGAAAAGTGTAGAAACTCAACTAAAAGTCCAGTTGTGTGTTTCTTGAGATAGCGCATGCGCTCTCTCTAAAAAAAAAATCATGTAGTTGGCAGTCTTCTGCCTATAGCCTGTTCTTTACATGCGTCTACCTAGGAAGAACACTGCATATATAAAGTAACTTGTGAAGTGAAGACGGTGTGGGTGTAGAAAAGTTAGTTCAGGTTTTGACCCATTCACACTTTAGAAGGGAAAAAAAAAACATACCCCACCCCAAACTTTCTAAAGAAAGACTCTGATGTGATGCTGAACTAGAATTCTGTGTTCTCTCACTCCTGTTGTCTTCAAAACTTTCTCTTTTAAATTCATACTAGCATACCATATTTTTTAGCATTTTTATTATTAATGAATGAATTAAAATTGTTTTATGCTAAAACTTGAAGAACATGTTTCTGTGAAACTTCCTTCAAGTGGAATAGGATTTCTGTGAGGAGAATGAGGCCTTTTTAATCTTTGTAGACTAATTTTATTGGGGGAGGTGGTGTGCGGAGTGGGACAGAGAAGGCCAAAACATCTGCGTTTGCTTAAACATAGATTTTGCTTGAATTCAGTTATTGCAGACAAGAATAGCTGAGCTTGAAGTGGGAGCTTTGTCGTAGCTGTGCCTATATATGCGTATATATGTAAGCTAGCTTGCCCTGTTTATATTTTAGATGGAATTGTTAATTTGTCTTGACTCTTTCCATTTGGTATCTATGGGTTTATTATATAAAGAAGCTTGTTGATGCTCATATCTGGCAGTGTAGCAGTTCTGAATCTTTTTATAACCTGCAGTCAAATCAGAGGCTTTTAGAAGCCACTATTTGTGGTTTATGGCATTGGGAGAGTAAGAACAACCAGATTGCCTTTCATCCAGTCACAGTTTAGACTCTAAATCTGGCAGTTATTTTAGATATTTAAAGACAAAGCTGGCACAAAGTTTTAAATGAGGTTTCCCCAGCCAAATTCACTGTACCTCAAGGCAGAATTGTCCTAGAAACTATTTTCCTTTTGAAACTAAATTTGTACCAGGTCTGCAGGAAATTTTCCTGAGAAATACATTAGTATGAGATGCAGAATTTCAGATTCAGATTGTGCTTTGCTTTCAGCCAGTCAGTCTTGCACATGGATTTCCACCAACCTTTCACGTAATAAACAGAAGAATGTTTATGTCACTACACTGAGGTCTCTGGTCCTTAGAGAACTCTGTTCCTATGTGTGGTCATAAAACATGTTGAAAAGGCGATAATTGCATGCAGAATAATTATGTAGTGGGAGAAAGTTCTTTTGGTTGATCGTGTTTACAGATAGTTCCTCAGGATTCGTGTCCAAGTTATACAGTCATCAGCGATTCTTGCCATTTTCTTCATGTTTGGCCAAAAGTACCCTGTTTTTTTAAGCTAGATATTGAGATGAATGTATAGAGATACTGTGTTTGGCTTGGCGGGGGTAATCCGATGCTATCTATAGAATATGTTTCTGTGGGTTTAAAAAAAAAAACCCGACTAAAACAAAACAAACACCCCACCCCAAAACCAACCAACACCGCCCTCCCAACCAAAACACCAAAGCAGAGCTTATTAAATCAAATTTAATAAAAACTGTACTTTCTTATTGCTAATTAGAAGACACGAGACTGGCATTTTGCAACTTCTGTTTTTCAAGATGTGTATGCACGCATGTAAGGCAGTCACGTTTATCTTTTTCAGTCCGGTTTCAGATGCAGAGACCACAGCACATCTTCAGAAAGAAGGCAGAATTTGCAGAAACGACATGAAAAACCTTTAGCTACAAGCCAGTCAAGCAGAACAGAGCAGAGTCCTGAACCTCTGTATTTTGAGGTAGTGTTGTATGAAAACTGTTCTGTTTTTTTCCCCTCTCCTCCCTAGCTGTAATTGGATTTCTTTAGTATAAAACATTAATAAGGTGTTCCTTTTTGAAAAAGGTTATTCAGATACAGAAATGCTTTGTTAATTTTTCATCACTTCTGTTTGTGTCACTTTTTAAGCCCTTGTAGCTTATATGGGGCTTCAGGATTCAATTAATTTTTCTAGCTTCAGCTGATGCTTCAGTTGATGCTTTTAATGTGACTTTTGGCTCCATTTTCTTCATTCTTAATTTTTATGATGTTTAGGATGAAGATGAATTTCCAGAACTAAATAGTGACAATGGCAGCAGCAAAAGTAGTAACATCCAGCAAAAGATTGCACCCAAAGTAGTAAGTAATCACTTTGTTTTGCAAAGCATTTTTAAGTTAAGTTGTTTTGAGACTACTTGATCTGTGTGATTTTTTTTTTTATGAGTCTCTGCTACAATACTTACGATGTGGTAATGGTGATGTTCTTGAGGTATTTGCATTACCAGTTTCAGATGCTAAAGAAATGCCAATTAAAATAAGTGTTGCAGAGAACCCATCTTAAAGACTGCTGGATTGTTGTCTGCTAATGAGATTGTTAACAAGTGAAATGGTAAGATACATGTGATAGGCACTTAGAATCATAGAATATCCCAAGGGACACAGAAGAATCATGGAGTCCAACTCCCAGCTTCTCCATCTCACTGGTGGTTGCTCATGAATTCTGTGCTTTTTGAAGTCACATGCTAAATTTTGGGGGAACAGCAGATGCAACAGGATTTTTGAGATGAAAAATAGTTTTTAAGATTATCGAACTTTCTTTGTGTTAATACGTAAACTATATCCTGGTTATTCTCTCTGACTCAAAGGGCTTGCATTCAGACTGATGCTTTGATGCAGACTTTTCTTAGAATAGTAAAATCTGCAAATATGTACTAATGGCATCAATTTTTCAAAATAACTACCGTTTGTGTAGTTTGTTCTGAAACAAAAATAAACTTTCTTTGTTGGAAAGATGCTCTTATAATACATGATCTACTTCTGTTGCGAAACCAACTACTTAATCTATTGGCCTGCTTCCCAGGATAGTAAAGTCCTACGTGAAGTCCGCAGGGGGGAAAGAACCACTCCCTTATTTAGCAATTAGACTGGAAAATCTTCTGAAGGCATAACTGGAGATAAATATAATAGTTTTTCCATACAAAAAAATACATGAGTTTCTAGTTTTGATTTACTGTGTCATCTAGCTGTACTTAATAGTTGGGATGTCATACTGCTGACCAAAGCAATGGTTCATGTGGTTTCTGGAGTGCTGTGTTTCCGGTCTTGAGAGAAGGGTCTTTAATTGTGGGGTTTTTTATGTTTTATTTTAAATCCTAGTTGGATGACTTACCAGAGAATTCTCCAATCAATATAGTCCAAACTCCAATTCCCATTACAACCTCTGTACCAAAGCGTGCAAAAAGCCAGAAGAAGAAGGCCTTGGCAGCAGCACTTGCAACAGCTCAAGAGTATTCGGAGATAAGCATGGAACAGAAAAAACTTCAAGTGTGTAGTGTGTGCCCTCCCCCGACACCCCCCCAGTTGGTAAAGAGGAGTATCAGTTAGCTGTTGCTCCTCTTTGTCCTATAATAGCAAGAATCTCTTTGTAAAGAATGTTTTGCAGGCACTATTTTTCTTGGTATTAATCCTCATGTGGTGGTTGTGTTATAGGAGGCTTTATCAAAAGCGGCTGGGAAGAAGAGCAAGACCCCTGTTCAGTTAGATTTGGGTGACATGTTAGCAGCTCTAGAAAAGCAGCAGCAAGCGATGAAAGCTCGTCAGATCACTAACACCAGGCCCCTCTCGTACACAGGTATTTCTAATCTGCTTGACTATTGCTAAAATGCATTTTGTGGCAATATAGATGGGATCCATCTGAGAATCTTAAATGTGCTTTTTTTTCTGTCAAGTTTCAGTTTTTTAATATAAAGGTAATAAAAACCTGGGAAGGCTTTCTTAATGCATTTCTCAAAAGATTCACCAGTGCTATCTTCCTCTGAGCTGCAGTACACAACGGTGAAAGTCCATGTAGAACTGAGGACAGCCTTCTCCTAAAAGACCTGCTAATCAAAACTCAAGATTCATGTCTTGAGAGTAATTCAGTGCTGAAATAAATGTGTGAAAAGAACTGTATGAGGTCAAACCAAATATCTACCACAGATATTACAGAATTCTCTTTGAAAGCAGCTTGGAGAGGCTGTCTGTGACTATGGTAGAGAGAGATGCTTCTCCAGGATATTCTTCCCGCCTCGACTGATTATAGTTCAGGGCCTTCTGACCCAAGGCTTTCTCAAACCAAACTAGTTTCTTTAACTATCTATCATATGCTTTTATTGTCTATATAAGGTCCAATGGCAGTGAAGTCTAACCTTAACTACAGGCTGTGTGGACAAGCTTTTCCTTCTACTGTGTTTTTTGGGGGTGAGGGTCAGGAGGTTTTTTGTGCCCCACTCATAATTTTGTTGGCTTTCATAGCCTTTGTATTAGAGACTGAGCAGTCATTCCCTGCTCTTGTCCTATATGATTCTTAGAGGTCTGTCGTCTCTTTTTCTAGTCTGAAGAGTCCTGTATATTTGGGTATTGCGTTGTGAAAGCACATCTTTTCCAATAATCCATGTTGCTTTCTCTGTACCTTCTTGTAGTTCACTGTACCTTTTTGAAAGTAAGGAAGGTCAGACATGCACAGAATACTAAGTTATAGTTCATTGTGAATGTATGCAAGGACTTAATTACGCTTTTTTGTTCTCTATCTCTTTATCAACACATAATGTAAATTAGCTTTTTTAATGCTTGCTCCTGAATACAGAATTGACATTTTTGTAGTTATCTATTATAACCTGTGAATCTCATTCCTGAGCAGCAGTGTGTAGCCTAGAGTCCATTGTTCTGCACATAGTTACCATTTTCCTTCTTGTGTGTTGCTTCGTTTACCTGCTTTGAGTTTCAGCTGTGTTCAAACATTAATTCAAGTTGGCAAGATTACATCAAACAAAGCTCAGCAAAGAACAGTTGGCATTTCCTTTGGAGACCGCATTCATTTTATTCTTTCTTGCAGGAGATACACTTCACTACATGCTGCACTCTCATCTTTTTTGTCCTGTCAGCTAATCAAGTCTTTGACAACTAAAAATCAACGTTTGGATAAATATTTGTGACTTGCCTTGCTATTGTCGTCTTACTAGTAAAGCTACGTGTAGTCATTTGAGAGGGATCCCTTACCAGTATTAAAGTAATTCCTTTCCTGGAATCCATAGCTTCCTAAAACATGAGGCTAAGTTGAAGAAAGCTTAAAACCATCTGGAAGCAACAATATCTGATGATGTAATTTTCCTGTCATTATGAACTGCTTTTTTCCAAGGAAGGAAAATGTACTTTGAGAATTCATCAGTGGAAATTCTGAAAGCAGTGTTGAAATAAAGCTGACATGTCTTTTGGTGAAACTAATCTCTTTCTTGTATTTAGTTGGCAGTGCTGCTCCCTTTCATACCAAAGAATCTGCCAACAGAAAGTCCTTAGCAAAGGGACAGCCATCTATGGGTTGCCTTAATCCTTTGGATTCAACTGCCCCAAAAGTGAAAAGAGGAAAAGAGAGAGAGATTGCAAAACTGAAACGCCCTACAGCACTTAAAAAGGTAAACATGTCAACCCTGGAGTGTCTTGACCCACGCTTGAAATTCAAAAATAAAAACTGATATTTTCTCACTGGAGGGGTAGCGTCCATGCGCACAGGGTAAGGGAGTCATGAGCTTCAGCCTCTAGTTCCTGTTACACTGATGTCCTGTCCTTTGGATCTAGGCATGTAACAAAACTTCTATGCCCCCATAATTAGTTGAAGGTGATACAAATCTATCCCAATACAGACTGCAAGGGGTTTTTTTAACTATAAGCTGTAGAACATATGGGAAAACTTGCATAGTTTTTTCATGTTATTGAATCGTAGTTTGTAGTGCAATATAATATGCTAACCTTAACTATTCCTACTCTTTTTTTGAGACGGGTATAGAACTTGAAGTAGAACCGCTATCTTTGAGTAAACTTAGAAATAATTGGTTCTATGTATCTATATACATGCACACATAAAGTAGATATGTACACAGAAAATACAGTATGTGTGGAAATTGGAAGATAAAATACATAAAACTAGCCCTAAAAAAGAAAGCATGAAAGTCTTTTAGGAAAAAAAAATTGCAAAAGTCACTCGTACTTATGCACCACAACTCTTGTCAAGATCGCTTTATGATGTGGGCAGTTAAATCTGGTAAAGCTCTGTTGTTCGAAGGTTGGCTTTGGCTAAGCTGCTCTTTTTTTTTTTTCTTCGTTTTTTGGTTTTTTTTTTTCCCCCAGCAGTCTTTTTTTCTGACTTATCCATGGTCTACATGAGTTAGAGACATTCACAGTGACCTGTTTGGAAAAGTCTTCTAAACTCTTTGTCAATGCCTTTTCTGTTGTTGTTTTCCTAGTAATACCAATATATCATATGACTACTTACCTTTGCATTCCCTTTTTTTTGTAGAAAGGATTCTATCTGTTGGGGTACTTCACAAAGATGACTGGTATTCTTGCATAAGGTGGTGGTGTTGCATAAGGAGTTGTTAATGAGCAAGTGTTATGTATCAGACGCTGTGAAAGTACTTAAACTGTTGAAAGGACTATTTATGTAGAAGTATGAGTATTGAGTATGCCATCTGTAAAATGCTGGAATGAAATACTGTGTGTGATCAAAGAGGGAACTGAAATGATTTCAGGGCTTTCTATCCTGGCATGAGTAGGAAGGTTCAAAACTTAGTTAACTTTGTGTTATGTTTGGTCAAATGGATCTATAATCAGATGCTGATAGCTGTTCTTGTTCCTAGATTATTTTGAAAGAGAGAGAAGAGAAGAAAGGCCGATTATCAGCTGACCATAGCCTTTTGGGATCTGACGAACAGAAAGAGGTTCATATAAACTTAACTGCTGATCAGTCTCAGGAGCTGGCCTCTCAAGAAGGTTGATCTCTCTCTAGTCCCCCTTCCCTCTCCCTGCAATTATACTTGTCTTAGTATTTTGTCTCTTTTTATGCAAACAATTTATTGATGTTGTCTTTTAAGTTTTTTTTGACAACTTCTAAAATGTCTTGTCTGTCCCTCAGTTGTGGAAGGCTCAGGCAGCATGGGTTCTAAGTACGTAATCTCCATACGGCCTTTTAATTTAGTTCTCTTAAGTGGATGTTCCCAACACATGTCAGAGTTGATAGCATTTTTGATAAGCAGACAAACTGTGACCTGTTGCCAACCATGCCATGTTGTTCACAATGCTTTTTAATGATAAGGATACCGAAAATTTTCCAGATACGGAAGTTGCAAACTGTAAATAGGGTTTTCCAGTTTGAATGCTTTTGTCAGTCAGCTGCAATGTCTGGACTGTCGATTTGCAGCCACAGCTCTGAGCAACTGGGAAACTCCAAAGAATTTTCAATGTCCTTGATGTGTTTGGGGGGTTGGGGTGGGGAGGAGGTGTTTATCGAGATTCCAGATGTACTGCTTCAGAACTTTCCTTCCGAGTGACCTGGCTGACTTCACCTGACTGGAGATGAGTGTGAAAATCTTAAATATTCTAGGAATAAGTTGGTGAAGTATTTTTTATTTTTATATATATATGAATATTAAAAAATTATTGGAAGAAGTTGTACCACTTAGGCAGTTTTTCCCTTCTGTTCTATCCATTTCCCAAACTAAGCTTTGGATATTTTTTAATGAATATTGAAATATTGCTTATTTACACAAGCCACGTTGAGTGGTGGGTATGTGCTTGTTTTGTTTTTCCCCCTTCTCAACTACCCCTCCAGGGAAGAATGGTGTTTGTTTTCAGAACGTAATTTGGAAAAAGCGAGGGAGTGATACATAAGAAGCGTCATGCTGTTTCCTCTGTATGAAAGTATCTTTGCACTTTATAATGTTTCAAAATTGTCTTTCAGAAACTGGACTAAGTATGCCTAGTGATACTTCCCTTTCGCCAGCAAGTCAGAATTCTCCGTACTGCATGACCCCAGTGTCACAAGGTTCACCTGCTAGTTCTGGAATAGGTAGTCCAATGGCATCTTCTGCAATAACCAAAATTCACAGCAAGAGATTCAGAGAGTAAGAGTTTTGGATTTTTAATACAAATTCGAGGCTTGCACTTCAGTCACCCTCTTCTTTTAAGCATGGATAGGTTTAGTAAACTTAGGAGCGGCTTAACGAACGTAAGCTACCCTTTCATCTGTAGAAGTTTCTGCAGTACTTTCCTTTTTTTGGCCATAGATGGATTGATATCTGTGTGTATAGATACACGAATGTGTCTGTGTATATCTGTATGTACACACATGCACTTCAGTCTTTCTTTGGTTGCTGCAACAAAGAAGTTAGGTGGAAGTCTCTAAAACATTTTTTTAAAGGAGGGCTACACACGCTTTGGAGGGGAAAGGAATTACTGCTTTTTTTATTAATGTATCTTTATAGAGTACCAAATTTAAGGAAAATAATACTTGCTTGTGGCACCTGTTGGAGTATTTCTTTGTATTTTTTAATGTTCCTTTTGACTAACTTCTTGAGGTAAGGGATGTTACTAGAAATATAAATGTTTTCAGGATGTATTTTCAACTTACAGTATACAATCTGACTTCTAAATCCTTTTCATAACTTTAACTTCTGAGGAAGTAAAGCTGCTTTTTTGTAAAAGAAAAAGCTAAGTGAAATAGTGTTGGTTATGTGCTATGCTAATATTTGATTTTTTTTTGACAGATACTGTAACCAAGTTCTAAGTAAAGAAATAGATGAGTGTGTGACTCTATTATTGCAAGAGCTGGTCAGCTTCCAGGAACGGATTTATCAAAAGGATCCCATGAGAGCTAAAGCGCGGAGAAGACTTGTTATGGGGTTGCGTGAGGTTACTAAGCATATGAAGCTAAACAAGATCAAGTGTGTAATCATATCTCCCAACTGCGAAAAAATCCAGTCAAAAGGTATAAGTTATAAAACAAGAGGTGCACTTGACTGTTTACAGTTTTCTTGTGCTGATTAAAAGTGCTGAGTAGCAAGGTTAGAAGCATTTTTTTAGTTACTGTGCATGACGTAATACTTCCAGAATCAATTGTCTAATTGCCCCTCGACATTCATTCTTTTCTACTCCATTCTGGAAGAAACTCATTCATGGGGGTGAAAAGCTTAAGGAAAAATAGATATTATAACATATACAATAGACTTCAATCTTTATTCCATTCAGTCTTTGATACACCTGGAGTCCTGAGCTCTGGGTGCTTTTAAGGAGGGTTCCTTCAGAAGAATGTGAATTGGTTAGTTAGCCAGCAACACATTTTGCCACAACCAGAAATGTAAGCAGATACGGTACAAATAGATATCCTGAGATAGGAGAAAAGCAAAGCTTTCCTCAAGAAGAGAGCTGTGGAAAAACTCTGATTTGTGTGCAGGACTAAGAATAGTGTGTCACCTTGATCTATATTCACTTGCTATACTTGCAACGTGTAGCTGCTTGTCCTGTAGGGCCTAGTAGCTGGCGATGGTGTGTATTGAAGTTTTACTGACTAATTGCAGTTAAAATGGGATAAATAGTTTTTTATCGTGCCATGCTATGACTCTGACTAGGTATCTATTTAAAATTGCTTTCTTCAAGGTGGACTAGATGAGGCTCTGTATAACGTAATAGCCATGGCACGGGAACAAGAAATTCCTTTCGTCTTTGCTCTTGGCCGTAAAGCTCTTGGCCGTTGCGTGAACAAGCTGGTTCCTGTTAGTGTAGTGGGTATCTTCAACTACTCGGGTGCTGAGGTGAGTAATCCCATTCACATAAATGGCTGGAGTAAACAATTACTGTTCCTTGTAGTTAAGAGTTGATTTGGCATGGAGAGCACACCCTACTAAGAGCCTTTGATAACGGCCCTGACCTGGTCTGTATTAGGGTGTGTTTTTCTTTGAAATTCAGTATTACAGAACTGAGAGGCTATGTTGAAACACTTTGGTCGCATCATCTCTGTAGCTTTCAAATAGGCTTAAATGCCACCTGAAATTCTCTGGAAAGCTTAAGATTGTAAGAAAAACAGTGTCTTTAAGTACATCTTTTTAAAGTACATACATCTCCTCAAAGCTGCATAAATATGGAGTGGTGGTTTTATTCTTACTTAATACAGAGAAGAACTTATCTTTAGTTGAAGTAAAGGTATTTGGTGATAATAAGCTTAAGGCTCACTATGTGGTATACCTTTGACTGAAAGGAGTAATTTAAAGTGAAAGCTATTGGTAAGAACTGCTGATTATAAAAACTGCCTTTATACTTAGGACCTATTTAATAAGCTGGTATCACTGACTGAAGAGGCCAGAAAAGCATACAGAGATATGGTTGCTGCAATGGAACAGGAACAGGCAGAAGAAGCCTTGAAGAATGTCAAGAAGGCACCCCATCATATGGGTCATTCTCGTAACCCCTCTGCAGCAAGCGCAATCTCATTCTGTAGTGTTATTTCTGAACCCATATCTGAAGTGAATGAGAAAGAATATGGTAAGTGTGTTAAAACTTACTTTTGTAACTAGAAGCTGGAATCTTCCGAATGTTGGTTATTGTGAAATGTAGCTAAAAATACAGTCTTTCTTCATAATTTACAGTACTCTGCAGCTTTCAGGGATAAGAGAAAATTGGTTAGTCTTCAGGTAGTTTTGTAAATAACTTTTTTCCCCCAACTATATACAAAAATTAGAATTTTAATTTCTAATCCTCCAAAGTCTTGCAGTTACCTAACTTGTATCAGTGGAGGTGCTTTCTCCAGTTTTACTGAACTGGTATAGAACTGGTACCAAACAGAATTGATTACCTGATTGCGGAAGAACTAATGGCAGAGGGTAGGAACTAAGTTATTAAGGTCTCTGAAGATAGGACATGTAGCTTAAATTTTGAAACTCAAGATGGCAATGAATGATTCTACTGTAAGCAAAAGCAAATTTATTTATCTGGTTGCTGAAGCCCAGATGACAGAGGGGATAAAAGGGAGAATGCATGTTTGAAGTCAAAAGACTTTTTTTTTTTAGTCTTACAGTGAATTAAAAAGAATAATATCTTGGTTTTAGTTAACTCTTTTGTGGTGTCTCAAACTTATTTGTTTGATGTTTTTTGCTTGCTTTTAGTTTCTACTTGGGACTAACCTCTTTGACTACACTCAGTATTAATTTGCTGCTTTCACAGTTTACACAGGAAACGAAGTGCACAAACTTTCAGCTTTGTAGTGTCTGCTTTAGGATACTGTAAAAACCCAGTTATTCACAGCTCTCTCACTTTCCCTTCTTCCCCCTTTTTCTGATTGAGATTTTTCTAGTAAGCATAGAATAATATTAAAATGATCTTCTACTGTTATTTAAACAATTCTGGGATGTTCCAGACAAATATTTTTATATAGAAAGAATTAATGTTTCCTACTTAAACTTCTTTTGAAACTTGCAGAAACAAACTGGAGAAATATGGTGGAAACATCTGATGGGTTAGAAACCTCTGAAAATGAGAGAGAGTCCACATGCAAGACTGCAGTACCAGAAAAAGCCGGTAATGGTCAAATTGAAAAAGCTATTCTTAATAAACAACCACCTCTGGCTACAACTGGCGCTACCTCAGCAACGAATCATGGAAAATCCACACCAGGTGACAAAGATGAGGTGAAACCAGATGACAATCTGGAATGGGCCTCGCAGCAGAGTACAGAAACAGGATCACTGGATGGCAGCTGCCGAGATCTTTTGAATTCGTCCATGACCAGTACCACCAGTACCCTTGTACCAGGAATGCTAGAAGAAGAGGAGGAGGAAGAGGAAGATGATGATGAGGATTATGCCCATGAACCAATCTCTGTAGAGGTTCAGCTTAATAGTAGAATCGAATCTTGGGTTTCAGAGACCCAGAGAACTATGGAGACTCTTCAGCTTGGGAAGACCCTTAGTGGTGCCGAAGAAGACAATGCAGAACAAAGTGAGGAGGAAGAAATAGAGACGTCTGAGCAGGCTGATCCAGTCACTGATGGTGAGGAATGGACAAATGATAAGCACGCAAGTAACACTCAACATAAACCCACAATCTGCAGTTCTTTGAATAAAGAACACGCAGATTCCATCTATATGCCGTAAAAATAAGCAGGAACTCAGGAACTTTTTAGAAATTATATTAAAACTAACTGTTGTAAAGGTTGCAGCCATTATTTCGTATGCTTCATCTCAACATTTTGCACTGTTAAACATTTAATGTGTATTTAATTCACAACATTATTTTTGTAGCTGTCTGTTAACTTGTTTGAGTTAAAAACTAGTTTAGCTTTTAATCAGTATCTATTTCCCAGAATAGAAACCGTGTGGAAAATGTGTCAGTAAATATTCATTTGATCTTTTGTAGAAAAAAAAAACAAACCAAACCATCTTGTAACTGACCAGTTCTAAGCAAAATTCTTCTAAGATGTGACTGTTTAGCTCATTTTCAGACAAATAACCTACATTAAGACTGACAAATTATCAACACTTTACATTGGTGTTATGGTGTTACGCCAGGCACATCAGTGTATTTGGCTGTGATTTTCTAGTTCTGTCAAGAAATAAAAGTAAAAGTTTGGTTCTCCTTAAAGAAAAGCTAGAAACCTCCATTTGCAGTCTTTATGAAAAGTAAAGAGTAGAGAAATCTATGTGTGATTCTTATGCTAAGATAGATGCAGCTTTTTACTTGGTCTCAGTGAATGCATCTTTAAAAAGCTGCTGATAGTTGAGTTGGTTACAATAAGCTATAACGACTTTGATTCCAGAAGAACTTTAAACCAGAAGGATACAATTGGGGTGTTTTACAAGGTGGAAATACTGCATAAGAAACAAGAAAGAAAACAAACATTCCCCATGCTCTCCACAGTTGTCTGCCAAACCACACTGAATCATTAACCATAATCCCTATCCAGGGCTTTCAGTAAGCTGATGACTTCCTCTTTCTCCTGTCACTTACCTCAGGAATGCTGTAATCTACATAACATTGCAAAAAGCAAGAATAATCCTTTAACAGCAAGTGTGAACGATGTGGTGGCTCAGTGTATCTACATGTTCATCTGCATGCCTTGATCCTGGCCACCCTTGTGATGAGTTCAAAATGTATCTTAACAATTCTTACTCAGTGTGACTTTTTTGTCTGTTCTTACAGTGGTAGCAGCTTTAGGAGCTGACCTCTAGAGCAGAAAAGAAAGTAGTTATGTCAGGAGAGGAGGAAGTGCCCTGTAGTATGGGGAGGTATTTCAGTAGTTCAGAGGCAAAAGAAACAAAAATATTCCCTCTGAAACATACATGTTGCTAGAGAATTGTTCCATGTTTTGTCCTGAATATTGAATTGAAATCTATCAACTGATGATGAATTCATTTCAGATTGAAGATGGAGTATATGTCTAAACCTTGCATGTAAGGAGTCTGTTTTCCATCTTTTGTCTTATATAGGCAAGGGATGTACTGAAACTGCCAGCAGCAGCAGGAGCTTCACTACAAGAGTAGCCAAAGAGTAACTCACACGAATAACACTTTATAGCAAACGTATGTTTCTTCTAATTCCACTTCATTTTTCCTGATCACTTGTATCCAAATGCATAAAAATCCTCTGGGTAGGCTGAAAAACACAAGAAATGGATAGCTTAGGTATTTAGTCCACACTTACTAATATGGGACCAATGCTTATAGTACTAGTGATGCTGGCATTTAAGTTGCACTGGGAAAATAAGACTCCGGGTTTAGAAATCATCTACCCCTGGGTTTTTTGGATGCTAATGAGAATAATAGAAACTGTGTGTATTATGTAAATAATGCTTTGGTAGGCATAGGCATAGCAAGTGCTATGTAGATAAGCAGTATAGAGAGCTGCTAGGACAACGTGGCTGTTCTGTCATGTTCTTAGTTCCTTAATGTAATCTTCCTAGGTGTTAGAACAGGCATTTTATAGGAAAACAAAGACTAAGGAATGATGCCTCCTGAATGTTAAACCTTTTACTGTATGTATGGCAGATTTCTACTGTCTGTATGTTTTGAAAGAGTTTTTGCTTTAGGAAATGATAGGTGTTTGAACTGCTGACAAGCAAAACTTGCCCTTGGATGTGTAAGCACATGTCTCGATGCCAGCTGAGATCAGTGTATACACTGAGGGCAAAACTCCCCCGGAACATCAAAAAACAAAGGTGTTTGTAATTTTTTCTCCTGCTTTTTTGGTGCCAGTGATTCAAATAACTTTTGATCTTGAAGTATTAACATCAAAGGCGCATCTTTTTATATGTCTTTTCTGAACTTGGACTGTCGTTTTAAAGTTTTCTGACATTTATATCAAAGAAGTCTTGTAATACTCAGCCCACTATTTAACTGCAATTTTGCTACAGGTTTAATAGAGTTCTTGAAGGTGATATAGCACTTCTAATATCTCTCAATTTGCCAGCAAATAAGGAACTAGTCTCTTTTTAAAATGTGGCAGATCACCCTTAGAGGAGCAAACTGAAACTGAGTAGAGGAAACTGGTTTTAGTGCTTCCATTTTGATAAGCTGGGAATGAGCAATAACTGTGAGAATGAAACTGCAATTCTGTTGGGAGTGTTTAGAGAATTAGGGAAAAGTTCCTTGCCACTTGAAGCACTTGAGGAGAGTATCTCACTGTGGTAATCCTGATTGTTATCACCAGAATTTGAAAAGAAAGCATACAAATGTTTTACAATACCATGATTTTTTTTAAAACCTAGCTGAATTTCTATTTCGGTATAAAAGTATGCAGTTTATTATACAGGTTGTTACTGTCCCCAAGAAAAGATGTTTCTGTAGTTATAGGTGTATAGATATTTTTGTTGTGAAAATGATTATTCAGAAAACAAATCTACTTTTCTTAAGACATTCTTTATAGAAATTACACCACTTAATTTATCTGGTAAAATCAAAAATAATGTAGCTGTGGTAGGGGTAGGGATCTTTTAAAACTGGTAGAGGTGGCTATGTATACAACCTATTTATATAAATACTTTAAGTATCTCTGTCAAATTAATAGTAAAACGTGGATTACAAATATGTAAAAGGGAAAAAACTCTGAAGAACTTTTGTCCTTAGTTGGACCAAGTAACAATGTCTGAGTAAGGTTAAGGACCTGATCCTGCTAACACACGCTTAAGAGCATTAGTTCCACTGGCTTAAATCGGTGGCCTGTTTATCTGCTTAAGTTGTGTGCAGGTAGCTGTAGGATTGGAGCTAAACAGTGACAGAGGGTATTGACCTGTGTTTTACAAATCCATTATAGAAAATGTTCAGTAATGCACTTGTTGGTGGTGTTCTGGTAAAGATAAGGGGTGTCTTTATGCTCATTTGGGTGGGTGGGAGCTTACACAATGTAATTCTGTCCAGTTCTTTAACACAAGCTTAAATTTTAATGATGTTACTTTAAATACGTATGTAAAAAAGTATTATTGTTTGAAAAGCTGCTGTTTGCTGAATCTGTCATTAAGTATTTCCTGTGAAGTTGTGCCAACTAATGAAACTATTGATTTCAGTGTTAGACATTTAAAAATTAGACATGACTATTTGTCAACGAAACAAAAACCAGCAGAAGCAAGCCATAGAAACAAGTACTGTGGGTTTTCTGCCCACCGGGCCACACACAAGGAGATGTGAGAACGTCTAACCCGAAACTTCCCCATCAATGAATGGTAACGGTGAAAGTAGAAACCCAGTTGGCACAGCCCACCACCTAAATGTTCATGAATAGTTCATATATTTTACTTTTAAATAGATTCTAATAAGGAAAGCTGTTTAATCTTTAATGTCTTAAAATTTGTAGTAATATCTAGGTTAAAGCAGTAGAAAAATCATTATGAAATACAATATGAAGGGTTTTGTTGCATTTCTTTTTTGCTGTATGAAGGATAATTGTTCTGTCTACCGTACTTTTTGGAGTAATAACAGCTTTTTTGCACTATGTAAATACTAGTGGGGATTCTTCCATAACTAATAAAAATGATTGTAGAAATTTATGGTTTTATTAGTGCTATGTTTGTTCACAACTACTTTATCCTGAATTTGTTTGCAAATGCTGCCCTGGCCCCACAGATGGAGGAGGTCTGTGTTACACTGTACTTGGCCACAGGGTGGAGAAGCCATGTGGTGGCTCATCTCCTCTGACTGGTGCTACCCTGGGCCCCAGCTCCAGGGTGACAGCCAGCACGGGGAGCTGAGCCCCTCCAGGCACCTCGACTGAATGGTCACTGGCAAGAGGCTGAAGAGAGAAATTGGATTAGCTGAGGATTTTTCACATTATGGAGTACAGGTCCTTGTTGTCATGAACCATCTCAGTGATGAGCAGGAAAATATTAGATAGAAAAACCTGCTATTCTTCAGAGACTGCGGGACTGAACTAGATCCAGAATATTAAGTTGGAAATAACATTTTACTTAAGTGAGAATAACCACAGGCACCTCCGAAAACTAGGATTTCTTGCCTGCTACTAATGTACGAGAATTTAAGTTGACCTGCCTTTATTGTTATACTGGTGCATGAAGTCACCTTTGGAAAATAACATGAAGTTCTCGGCACGTTGTCCCCTGTTCTCCAGTGACTCACTGGTAACTGCTCATGCTTCCGTGGCTCTGCTAACAGTGTCATTAACTGGTTTTGCAACTCCCACGTGTGAGAATATTTGTAGCAATTCAAAAAGGATACAGCTTCATCCTGTAACTTTGAATTTTCTATTTATGTGCCTTAACTTCATGTTTCAGTTCTGCTATTGCAGTTGTCTTCTGTTGAAAGTGCTTCTGTTACAAACCTTACTTTGTAGGTGCTATCACTTGCTGTCAAAAGTACTCCTCGCATCTGGGTTTTGCCCGTGTCTTCTCAACCTGGTGAGTTTTGGAAAGTACAAAAAAGTAGGTGGCACAGTGTGACTTGTGCTATGGAAATGACAGGAAAATTAATTACACCAGAGCCTGAATTTTCTTTTCTCTCTCCATTTCTTCACCACTTAAAAAACACTTAACCATTTTGTAGTGCCCATGAGGGAAGTTCCTTGCCTCTGTGAAATGGTGCTTTGTATTGCTGCAAACACAGAACAACTGCCACGAGAAAACAATTGCTCCTGCCTTTGCTGCACTTTAGTTCCTGTAAGCAGCACTAGCCCTACCTGCACTCTGAAAGCACCCTGAGCTCTTGGGTACCAGGTTTATACTGACAGGGCT